CACTTTTTCATCTTCCCTTAAAATGTGCCAGTTTCTCTCTTCTCCCTCCACTGTTCTCTTTTGCCTTCAGCTTCCTTCAACTATTGCAAAATGAGTTCAAAATGCAAAAAACAGTTTGCACTGAACTCAGCAGGAGGGAGAGAAGAGAAGAACCTTGCCCTTCCAAGCAGGATCTCCTGGTGTATGTGTTCTTTTTCACGAATAGCTTTTGCCAACTTGAGCACACTCTGATGTTGCACGGACACATGCGTCCTGGTATTCCTGGGTGAAATCTTGATGGTATGAACTTGAAGATACACACATTACCCACGTGCATGCTGAACCAAGGGCTCCTTAAAACGGGAAAGGCACTCCGTGTTCTCCTAAAAGGATGCCTTTTGGATTTCCAAGTCAAGCAGCAGTGTTTCTTTTCCCTGCCCCCTCCCAAAACAAAACACAGCCAAATGGGTCAGCTGAATAACTGCCTTAAATGGAGCAGTGTTGCCGTGTTATCGCATGTTGAGACACACCAGAAAGGCCAGCGAGGATCTCCTCTCTGCCGAGTCTGCCTTTCCAGAGGCTAGGCTTTGGAAAACATGCATTTGACATGAATCATGCAATTTCTTGATTTTTTCCCCCCAACTTTTCAGTTAACTCCTCATGGTCTCCTTTATTCCCATGACCACCACCGGGTTCCTGTCTCAGAACTGTCTGTCTGGAGACATAAACAGAAAATCATGGGATGATTTCATAAGACAAACCTTCTATGTCTAGGCTGGTACTTCCTCAATACTGTGGATGTTGGGTCTCACTCTCCCCCCCACACCCCCTGCCATGAATGACTAACAAAAGAAGGAATATTTGATTATTGTGGCAAGATGTTTCAGCTTCTGCCTTTTTCCAGCTGCTCAAATTCAGCTGTGCTCAACATTATACAATTGTGTTGCTGTTCTGTGCCTTCATCTCCTTCCTGACTTGCATGGCATAGTGGTTTGAGTGTTGGACTAGACTCTGGAGACCAGGGTTCAATTCCCTGCATGGCTATGAAACCCACTGGGGGACAATAGGCAAGTCACACCCTCTCAACCTCAGGGAAAGGCAATGGCAAAGCCCCTCTGAACTAATCCTGCCAAGAAAACCCCATGATAGGTTCATCTTAGGGTCGCCATAAGTCGGAAATGACTTGAAAGCACACGATATACACACACAGGGCAACCCTTTCATGGGGTTTTAGCGGGCTGAGAGTGTGTGACTCACCCAAGGTCACCCAATGAGTTTCCATAGCTGAGTGAGGAAGAATTGAATCCAAATCTCCAGAATCATAGTGCAATAACTACACCACAGTGGCTCCCTAGTTATACAATAAAAGGAAGAAGTATTTCAAAGCTGGGTGTTATAAAATGTCACTCTAAAATCATGAAGGTCATCCCCATTCATTGGACTGCCACTCCCATCATTCTCACCCCACATATCCATGGATGAGGAACACTCAGAGCTGCAGTCCAGTTACATTGGTAAAGCTGCATGATTTCCACCCCTGATCTAGGCTGAAGCTATTGAGAAGCTGTAGTGCCAAGTCCATTAGTCCCTTTTGTCGAATGTTCTTGTATCTGATCCATTCTGTTTTTATTTTGATCACCAATAAGTTGGACAAATGGTGATCTTCTGAATTAACATGTCTGACCACTGGCTGTTCTAATTTTCTAGTCAGGATTGCAGGCTTTTGGTCCCTGAGTCATGTAAATAGGTAACTGTAAATGTAAATAGGTCACCATTGCCATTTTGGTTGCATATCGTGGAATAAATTCCAGATGTTGGCATGGAAGGACCTACATTAGACTGCAAGACTTGCAAGTGAGGATGGTCCCTTTAACACAGCAATTTCTGCCAGTCACAGCTCTCCTAAAGATGTGTTGTCAAAGATCGTGTATCATAGTGTAGTCGAAGGCTTTCACGGCTAGCATCCATAGGTTTTTGTGGGTTTTTTGGGCTGTGAGGCCATGTTCTAGAAGAATGTATTACTGATGTTTCACCTGCATCTGTGGCTGGCATCTTCAGAGAATGCTGGCATGGAAGTGTGCGGGGTGTATACCTTCGGTATATACTCTTGGTATATAGTATATATACCAAGTATACTATATACTTAGTATATAGTATATATACCCCATACACCTCCATGCCACCATTCTCTGAAGATGCTAGCCACAGATGTAGGTGAAACGTCAGGAATACATTCTTCTAGGACATGGCCTCACAGCCCAAAAAACCCACAAAACCTATCACAGTGTAGCTTTATGAAGCTGAAACATACATGGCTAACACAATATGCAAACATGTTAGAGAAGTGCAATTACAGTAGTCCCCCATTCCATTATCCATGGGGACATGTTCCAAGACATCATGGACATCTGAAACCATGGATAGTACCAGTAATATTTTCGGACCACAAGTGAAAAACCAATGAAATACCAACATGTCTAGATTGGATATAAAAAGTTATGGAATTAGCATCATTAGATAAGCTATCTAATCTGGTGAGAAACAACTCAGTGGAAACATTGAAGAAAACATGGGATCCATTTATAACATGGGATTCATTTATAGAATAAGTTAATTGGAAAAGAGGAGATATCAGTAGTGTAGGATTTGAAGTATAAGATATATACCTCTGTGTGTGTTTGATTTGTGATTAGGAAGGGAATGTTTAAAGATCTGGTTAATAGAAAGTAAAGTATTGAAAAAAGTTAGGAGGTGAAACTGTTGTATTAATTTAGAAAGCGGTTAAAAAGAAGTGGGAAGTCAGATTTAAATTTTCTGTGTTGTACTTTTATTTCTTGTTGCTGTTTTATTGAATTAGTGGTGGGCGGGGGGAATAGGATTAAGGCAGATATTGGTATGTATGTCTTTGTGGTTATGTGGTTAGTCTATTCTGCTTTGTTTTGTTTGTCTTGTTTGCTCAAGTTGCTTTTGCGTTACAATAAAGAACAATATTTTCTAATATTTTCAGACCACAATTGACCATAGGTAACTCTGAAACCATGGAAATACAGTGGAACCTCTACTTACAAATGCTTCATCCTACGAAATTTT